TTCCAAACAAGAGGTGTAATGATGAGACCAACAACTGTGAGATAAATGTGCACTTATTTGTTCATAAAATGTTAATGACTTAATGAAAAAACTCCTCTTTGGAATTTTGTAGAGTTGAAATTTTAACGGTAGCTCAAAGACAAAGAAGACATTACTAGTAGATTAATCCCTAACCATTCCCTTGGAGGGCTGTGTATCAAAACGGCACTACTGGAAAAGGTAGTGACATACCTTTTATATGCAGTGCTGCAGGTGCTATGCATAAAATAAAAAGCAATATGGAGGCAGTAGCAATCGGGTTGTTTATGCACTCAGACAGTTGCCTTGAAGGAGAATAAAACTGAGCATGAAATGAAAGGTTCATGCAGGTCTATGAGCGAAACAAAAACAGAAACCAGCCGCACCCCATCTGCCCTGCCCGCCCGGCCACCCGGCCAGCCCCCCGCAAGTGCTTCCTGTGGGCTCAGGACCCTTCTGTTCGGAAGACCTACAGGCTTTATCCATTCACCTGGTGGCTCAGGAAGACCAGAAACACTGTCATAGAAAGAAGCTCTCTGAAAATTCTGAATCTCTAAAGCAGAGAAGCAGCAAAAACAGGACAGAAGAGCAAATACACAAACACTTCAGTTAGTGTGAGAGACATTCGACATCACAAGTAAACTTTGAAATCGGGGACGAAAGTTGCTAGTCCAGGGAAGATCTCATGCAAACATTACTCGTTAGAGAATCTGCACATTTGGACCAAGTTCTTTATAAAATAGACTTAATCTGAATGAAAATGCCCTTCCCCACTCCAGGTGTGAGCATTTTATAACACCCGTGTTAAATAACCTCCCCACATAATGCAGGATGAAATGGTAAGAGCAATAAGGTACTACTCGGATTATCCTTCATAAAATCACCTTGCAATTAGCTAATTAGGACAAGGTGCAGTAAGTTGCACTGATAAATGTACGCATTAGTAACTTTTACTGATAAAAATTTACACTGCTGTGCAATTTTACTTCCAATACAGATTCTGGAAATATAATTTACTTCAAATACAAATTACTAATGCATAGGTAATTACCATTAAGGCAAACAAAATTCAAGTTCTGTTTAGCAAAATGTTAAAAATAACTTCATAAGTAAGAAGACACTTGATATCCCAAGGCACATTTACGTAAGAAATGCAATCTTTATTTATTTATTTATTTATTTATTTATTTATTTATTTATTTATTTTTTGTCTATAAGCCCCGTGAAGTATTGAGAAGTCCCGTGCAGCTGGGAGACAGATCCCAAAACATCTCTTAGCAGAAAGCAGGACACTATGAGTCTCTAGGGCAGGGCTGCCACCAAAAGCCTTATTTCTCCTGGTTTGGTCTTGAGAAACTCTTAAAAACCTAACACAAAGTCTATTTTAATACACAGTGTTTTATAATCAAGATATTGCACCTTCACAGGCAAATTATATCCATACAACACATAGTCATGCATTTGTGGCCCACTTATTATTTTCTGCTTTTGCCTTTATGTGGTTATAAAAATAGAAAAAAAAATACATATTTTTTCCTGGATTCTTTTCTTTTCCTGGAGAAAAAGCTACCCTTATCCCAAGAGATGTCTATACACAGAGTGAGCAGCGAGGAATTCTCCATCTTAGCACGCCCTCCTCCAACTCCTGTGCCTGCCCTGACTTTCGGGATGAAACTCCCCCTGCCGCTCCTGACAGTGGGCGACCTCTGAGATCCTGGCTCTCAGATCACACTGAATAACTGTCCACTACGCCGATGGACAACAGGCCTTCCGACAGCAGCATCATGAGGACAGCAGACACAGGAATATTCCAGAGCAGACGCCAGCACAGCCTAGTCTGTCCGGGGCAGGTGAGACCGCCAGCAGCCCACTCTGACCAAAGGGGCCACACGTACGCCCACGCGCCTATCCGCGGAAGGCAAGGGTAATACCGGGCTGTGTGGGCTGTGGGTCCGAGCTGTGACTGAGTCCAGAAGCACAGGGCTGGGGGCAGGACTGAAGGAGCTCAGCAAGCGTTTTCTCTCAGCTAGGTTTCTGGAACCTAGTAAGTTCTTCATGGCTATGGAAGCACAAAAGGGCAGGGGAGCCCTGGTGCTAAGTGGTTAGAGCACCAGCCTGTGAACTACGGGCCCACGGGTTCCATCCCCTGCTCAGGGGCATGTACCTTGGTTGCAGGTTCAATCCCCAGTCTTGCTTGGGGCATGTACAGGAGGCAACCAATCACTGTGTCTTTCTCGAGTCTATGCCTCTCTCTCTCTCCCCTTCTACTCTCTCTAAAAAAATAAAAAGCATTAGAGAAAATATCCATGGGTGAGGATTGAAAAAAAAAAAAAAAAAAAAAAAAGGCAGGGGAGAAACCTGCAGACCCAGCCCTGCCCACAAGGCATGTCACCTGTGACATGGGTCACTGAGCCCCCATCTCCACCCTGGCCGGCCAAACCTTATTTTCTTGCAACTTCTGACCCACTGCTGCCAACGGCTCTCACACATCTGGGCAGCGAGACAAGGCTTTACTGGAGGAAGTGGGAGGAGGAAGCTGGGAGCCAAGACAGGCTGGCTCTGTCCTAGGCTGCATCTGCACATCCGGAGTCTCCCGCTGGATCATCCTGGGGCCGGGCCACAGCTTTCCTCATCCCCCCAGACTCTCCCAGATGACAACCATGTGCCACACATGTGCGTCTGTCATATGGAAGGTCAGATGCTCACTAGGTGTTCCCCACAGTATCATTTTTGGTTAGAAGCTACAAAATAAGAGTCAAAGTGGTTTACAATCTCAGAACTATTAAGTAACTCAGGACCTACTTTCTTTACTACTGTGCTAATTCCCAAACTCCTGCTTCTCCTCTCCTTCAAAAGGAAGAGAAAATCGGATTGAGGCTTCAGTAGTAAAAACGCCAGTTTCCTCTGCTCCTTTCTTCCTGCTCATTTCACGCCCACTTCGAGGTTCTTCCCCACCAATCCCACCAGGCGAACACACGTTTTACTTCTTCCGTCCACATGTCTCACCTGCCCTGGCTCACAGCCTACGGAAGCTACTTATTCAGGGGAGTCAAGTCCACAGAGACTGGCAATCAGGCCTCTCCCTGGTCTGCTCTCAGCCTGTGACATGGCCTCGTCCCCCCCCACACCCTTCGCCCTAGCCCCACTCTACCGCCCGAAGGCGCCATGCGTCCTGAGCTGTGAGTCCCTCACTTCCATCCTCTGATCACTCACTCCACCTACTCGGCCCCTTCTCCCATGCCAGCTTCATTTCCGAAACGCTCACTCCCTGGTGAGCTAGCTCACGCAAACCTACTCACCCTCAATGGTTAAGGCCCGATCATGACAGGGATGCTCACATAGTGCTGAGAACTGCCTGGCACTTAGTCACTATTCTTATTTATTCAACAAATCATTCTCCTTCAAGGACAAGGAAAACTGCCCCCTCCTTCATGGCATTTTACCTTAGAACCCCAAGAAAAAGCAGTTCCAGCTCCCTTCCTCTGCTGAACGTTGCTACAAGCTCCTCCCGCCCCCTTCACACGGCACTCACCAGATCGTCTGGCCTTCAGACCTCCGCCTACACATCCCACCCTGTTCCTGTGCACTGAGACCTGAGGAGGGCCAGAGGGGCCACAGGACGCTAGCCCACGCCGTGCCCAGCAGTCACAGCAGGACTGATTCTTAACAGAAGCCTGCTCCTCTCTTCTCTCTGCGACATTTCCCACGTGCAGGTCCAGCTCCCCATTGCTGGTGTCCTAGCACGTGGACACAACTGGAGCTCACAGTCACAACTGGAGCTCACAGTCCTGGTTCCAGTTCCTCATATTCCATCTAACCTTTCACAGCAGCAGGCTCAGGAGTCCCTCAACGATGGCACTGTGAATACCATGCTAGTCTCTGCTCTCAGCTCTCATGCAGCACTCATGGCTGACCAGTCACAGCCAGCACCAGGGAACACGCAGCATCAGTTGAAGACTTTTACCCAAAGGCATAAAGATCAAAAGCTTCCATGTTACGCATTGGGAATCTAATCTGTTTTCCAAGTCTCTCCTTTTACGCAGTCCTGGGCACCGTCGGTCCCAGGACACGTGCATGATGTGTGCAGCGCGCCTACCTGTGGGCTCCTCACATCTCGGGCGGATGTACACAATCATCCCTGACTAGATCTTCTTTGTCATGGTTATCTTCCCCTGCTCACGTTCTCTGCATTCACTCTTCTCTTCCCACCTCTTTCCTTTTGCCCAAACTGCCTAAACCCTCCTTTCTCTCTGCCTCTGAGAACACAGCACCACAAGCTCCTGATTTGCTACAGGAAAAGCAGAGATGAGCCAGGTTCCTGAACAGGACGGCCTCAGGGTCAAGGCCAGGGCTAAGGTCCTGCATGAGCTGAGGCCCAGCAAAGAGATGGGATACAGTCAGGATGAGAGGCAGCAGGGAGAGCTAAGCTCCAAAAGATACCGATGCCCAATATGCACAGGCACATAGTGCTGGAAACAGCACACCTTCTAGTCTATGACACAACATCGCCAACATCTTCCCTGAGTGAGGCTCATGTAAAGAAAAGCACTCTGAGGACTGATGGGAACAGAAAATGGTCTACACACAGGGCATCTGAGTGTGTTCACCAGCCACTGTGTGTGCGTGTGTGGCCGGCAGTGGCTAGGACGCATGACCTGCGTGCCGCAGAGAAAATGCACAGGGCTTCTCAGATTGTATGTCCCCAAACTCTTGGATTACAATTGAACTAGGCCAGGGTAGCCGAGGCATATGCAGTTCTTTCTGGCTCTGAGCCTAGAAGGTTCCCACACTCCCCACAGCATCTGACCAAGAGGGCAGATGTCTTGTTACCTGAGTATTCTCAAAGTGGGTAACTCCCGAGGTAATGGCAGCCCTGCTCTAGGGAAAGAGGGTTACAGTAAAATACATGTGCTCACAGATATGTAAGAGCATCATATGCAATCCTTCATTGTAAACGACTGGCCAACGCAAGGCGGGCTTACCATCCTTCCAGAGCTCGGCCACGAATCTGTCGGAGGACTGGTGCAGCAGCGTGGCCACATTGTCGTTCAGGGGGTCCATGTTCTTCATCAGCCACTCGTCCGCCTTGTAGTCCACCTGGCCCCCCGGAGCCGAATGAGGCGAGATGGAAAAACAAATAAAACCGAGGACAGTTAGCCTTACCCCCCGATGAGCAACCTAACAAGTGGCAATCACTTGAAATGTATACTATATTTGGGGATTTCCAAATGTTTATCAGCACATTTTTTATAAACCCCAGCAATGGAGCAGTTTCACACAGCACTTTTAACCCAGCTCTTACCTTCCCTGCATAGTGTATGATGCAAAAGTCAGCTTTGTCTTTCAGCTGCCGAGGTTTCTGAAACTTGGAGTGGGAACCTTGCTCTTGAACTAGTTTTTCAACAAAGGTTTTATCTGTGGCTTTCGGGAACCAGCACTCTTCATCCAAAAGGGCAAGCACACCAGGAGGGTTGGCCTGATAATGAGAGGCAATGAGAATGGCGAGTTTGCAGGTAATACCCACTGGGTCTGATTCAATCTATGGACACCCCCTGCTGAGCTAGAAGGCCATGTCCACACCAAATCCATGCGCCAAGCACCCAGGTCTGAGTGCTAAGCAAGTACAGGTGAGACAATGGATGAGTCACTTATCTCATAAACATACATGTGCAAACTGTAGGTAAACTAATTCCAAGTGGATAGTCTCCAAACGCATCAAATGAAAGACCCCACCCTCATTCCAGTGAGGAGGTGGAGAGATGAAACTGAATGCTCATAGTCAATGACTAGATGGATAAATTATTCAAAACCCCCCACCAGGTGGAATGCTTCAGACATTTTATATCCTAATAATTTTTTTCTGATTAACGACTGAATAAAATGTACTGCTTCACACTTGGTGAAATATTTTAAACTATTATTAAGTAGAATATATGGAAGACGATGAGATAATTTATCAGTTACTTTATATATTTGATTCAACAACATATGAGAGCCTATTTTATTTCCCACTAGCAATTCCCTGAAAAAAAGACACAGAAACATAAAGTAGGTTAGCATGGCCAGGGACGGGGGAGGGGAGTAGGGAGCACCTGCTAATGGGACAGAGTTTCTTTCAGGGATGGTGAACATGTGGAATCAGACGATGGTAATGGTTACACAACTTAGTGAATATACTGAAACCCACTGAGTTGCATACTTTAACAGAGTGAATGTTAGGGTCTGTGCCTACAGCTTGCCATTTTCTGGGAACTCAAAATTCAGTGGACTGAACTAGTTTTTCAACAAAAGTTGAAGAGAGGAAGATGGGCTTCTCAGTGGTCTATTTTATGGCTTCTGAATCACCATTCATTGCCACTCTGCAAATACAGCAACTTGTGATACAAGATTGAATGTCTCAATTCCAGGGCCGCCTATCAGTTTTATGAATAAATCTCTGGGATCAGTTTTCTTAAAACTGGGGAAGAGAGGGCTGTGAACAAATATTGCTTAAGGAGTAACTAGCGGTTATAGTAAATGTAAGTGAAATACTGCAATCACATGGTCAGGGGCAGGTGGCGGTAGAAGCTGAGACCCCTCTGCAGCGAGCCCAGCACTGAGCCCTCCCTCCATGTGCTAAGTCCCTGTCCTCCCCGGAAAGAACTACATGAAAGAGCAGCTAAGGAAAGACTATGATCAAAGCGACTGGGATCTCCAACTTCTGAAATAGGATCCCAAATATAATTTAATCTTTTCTAAATGACTCAGTGACAGCATAATTATGAATATCCATTATGGTGTCTCCTTGTTATTTTTCCTGTGTCGTCCTTCAATGTCAAATTCATTGTTAACACTTCTTTTAATTGGAGCTGTAAGTATGAGACTATTTCCTGCCTATGGCCAGAGGCACTCTCAAGGGTTTGTAAGCTGCTTTCAGAACTTAAGAGGGTCAGCCACTGCCACCGCCTTACTCGATGTGTGAGAGAGGGGGTGAAGACTGGCCCCTTTTGAGGTATTTATTTTCCTTCTGAAAAATGTTCCCACTCTTCATTTTGAAAGGACCATCAATAGCATCCCATATTGTATATGCTATAGTTAAATCTCCTACTTATCTTTACGTTTCTATAGATAAGTGGAATAAGGTAATCCTAAAGAACAGTGAACTTAAAGAGTGAGTCAGCATTAAATTCTAAACTCCCTCCCTCCCTTTTCTGAGCCGCCTTTCCTTTATGTTGGGACCAGTCAGGCAAGAAATAAAAAGGTACATTGTAAAGCCTTTTGGGGAAGAGCCTAGAGATGCAGTACAGAGAGTCTAGGAGGAAAGAAGTAAAGGAGGAAGGAAGGGGTAGAGGGAGGGACCAGGGAAGGAGTGAGGAAAAAGGAAGAACCCATTCTGCTCACTGTCCTAAGTATCTAGACAAAGCTGGATGCCAATAGCTTCGAACACCCTGACTGGACAATTGCCCTAAAATCCCACTATCCTCCCAATTTCTGGAATGTGGCCCTGGAATGCCCCCCCTCTGCTGTCCTGGCCTTTATTGTCTCCAAATTCAGAGCGTCACTGACCAGGAACCACTAACCAGCAAACTACCACCACGTTTTGTTCTGTTCTCTGAACAAAAACATAAAACATTTAGAATTTAATGCTGACTCACTCTTTAAGTTCATTGTTCTTTAGGATTACCTTATTTCACTTATCTATAGAAACGTAAAGATTTTATAAGTAGGGCCATGATATCGACTCCCCACATCCCCACGGCACCCCCTTCTTTTTATTGCCAGGCTGTAATGGAGGAGTTAATAAAATTTTGTGGCCTTCATGTTATCCTAATCTAACAATAGTGAATAAAACAACTGAAAGTGCAGATACATAGTTAATACTTTCTTAAAACATAGAACTTTCAGTGTTACAGCCACATATAAGTGAGCATCCAAATCATATGATTGCTGACAATCCCAATATTAAATACTCTATTCCCTTATTTATATACATTCCCAAACAATTTTTGGACAGCAAAGCTGTGAGAAAATAGATTCACATGTCTGTGTGGACCCTGGAAGTTACTACAAGTATGCCTTCGATGTTACTCCTAAGCAAGGCCTCAGGCACACAGAGCAGAGTCCTCCCAGTTGCAGTCATTTGAGAGTTTCTGCCCCAAACAAGCGGCTGCAGTGCTTGAAAGTAAAATGATCTCTCATGAATGAGCCAAGTGAAAACGGTGTTACTTCCCTTAAACCCAAACTTCTAATGTGCGACAAGTGCATCTCTAACAGGGTGAGTGTCCTCTAGGCTCCTGCCCCTGGTTCGGAACCAGGTACTGAGCAGCCAGGCTTAGGCATCCGTCCTCCAGCCCCGCAGGCAGAGAACACGGTGCAGGCTGAACAGCACGAGGAGAGCTGCTCCACAGCCCAGGGCGCCGCACAGAACACCTCGTGGGAACGCGCCTACTGAGCCAGCACTAGACCTTGACCCAAATTACTGGTACCGGTGCTTAACTGTGCTTTAGTTTTCCTATGTTTTGGCAGCTGGCAAAGTAAAATAAGCAAAGCTACTACCTTATTGTAGCTTCCAGGGAATACACAGCCCAATTATCAAGATGCCTTTGGGATCATACAGTTTCATCTGTTATACATGTTCCACGTATTTCTACATGACACCGAACCAAAAGAAAATGGTCTAAGATTGCTATAAAAATACACCTGCCTCAACCTTAAAAATAAAAATCTCTTAAAAAAATCTGTCAGAATAAAAAATCCTTGTATTTATAAGGATAAATTTTAGTAATCTGAATAATAGATTTACATGCCAGGTCTTAGTTTTGGCCAAACGAAGTGCCCTGTATTGCCTAGGAGGTGAGTCAGGGGGAGCCCTCCACATTCCCAGGTGCAGAGGGTTGGAGGTAAACGTGACTGCCGCCACCATCGTGGCACCTGCAGTCTGGAAGACCAGGTACGTGAGCCAGTGTACTCACACACGCAGGCAAAGGGATAAGACTGCACAAGAAGAGACCAGAGAAGGGTCTGAATGGCATGCTGCTTCCTTTTCTAATAGGTATTTTATCACAGTGCCACCCTCCTAGAAAATTAACACGGAGCAGACAGGCAATCAACACGGATAAATTATGCCAAGGAGAACTGAAGGCACTGCCCACATCAGCTCTGGAAGCCACAGCGGGGGCACTCACAGGCCTCTCGATGAGGTCGATGCACGGCTGCAGGTCGAGCCCGAAGTCGATGAAGTTCCACTCGATGCCCTCGCGCTGGTACTCCTCCTGCTCCAGGATGAACATGGTGTGGTTGAACAGCTGCTGCAGCTTCTCGTTCGTGTAGTTGATGCACAGCTGCTCGAAGGAGTTCAGCTGCGAAGGGTGAGAGAACGGGTTTCCAAACATGGGGAGGGATGGAAAAGCAGGAAGAGTCATCTAGTTATCAAACAATTCATTAAAGACCAGTTAGGTATCAACTACATTATTGCTCGTAGCTAACGATAGCGACTGAACCGAGGGGGGTCTCTCTCCATCTCTCTCTCTCCCTCTTCCCTTTCCATCTTTCTCTCTCCCTCTTCCACACCCCCCCCCCCGCCTCTCTCACACACTATATATATACACATCCCTGAACTGCTACAATGAGAAAATAATAAACTCAGTATGCTAACTGAATAATCCACAAATAAAACAAAGCTTATTAGTGAATGGTTAATGAATATAATTGGTGAAATAAATAAGAGAAGAAGAAAAACAGAGTTGTGGGAAGGCAAAGGAAAGCAAGCACCACTCCATAGCTCTGAGAGGTCTAGAGAATGCACATGGTGTGGCCCCATCTGCTCCTCACTCAGCTTCCAGTGCACTTCTCAGGGATGTTGTGAGATCCCAGCCAGGCCTGACGAACAAAGCGCACTCAATCCAGTGTGAGGCTCCAGGCTGCTTCCCTCTGCATTCCCTTCTCTTACCAAGTGGCTGACCTTTGCCAGTACTAAGAGTGACACTGCATTGCTCACATGAAGTGATCTTGAGCATCTTTGCATAAGTTACAGACATTTGTTTCCCTCTCTGCAATCTCTGCCTGTTTTTCTACTGTTCTGCTGATGGGATGAATGACCAAATGGATGAATTAATAGGCACAGTATTCTTAAAGCAATCACTTTCTATATTAAAGGCACTCAACCTTTTTCCTGCCTTCACGCTATTCACACAAGTACCAAGTGCCCATAAATAACCTCTTTCATTATAAAAAGTGATCTTTAAGTAGGGCAGGCATAATCAATCTCCAAGGAATAAATTTATAGTCTGAAAGAGTCTAGTCCCCACCCCCTACGGAGGTGTTACACTCACCATTTTGGAATGAGGTCAGGCTAACAAGGCAGGGACAGTGTTTACTTGCTTAAACATCACATTTCTAGTGAGCCACATAAACATCTATGGACTGTTGGATGGTGCTTATTTTGTTTATGTCAATGGCATTGCTCTGATGTGGGATTATGAGACCTTATTTTCTGTTTAGCCTTACTATGTATGTGCGGTGGGTTTTTTAAATACATTTATTTTTCTTCCATATTTAAGCTATCAACTATATTTTATTTTATTTTAAAATATATTTTATTGATTTTTTTGTACAGAGAGGAAGGGAGAGAGATAGAGAGTCATCGATCAGCTGCCTCTTGCACACCCCCCACCGGGGATATCGCAACCAAGGCACATGCCCTTGACCGGAATCGAACCCGGGCCCTTCAGTCCCCAAGCCGACGTTCTATCCATTGAGCCAAACTGGTCCCGGCTATCAACTATATTTTAAAATTATCAATTTTTACATTGGTAATTCATGGTATGAAATTTAAAATGTACCAAGAATTGCACTGTCTCATTCTCTAGAGTCAACTGCTATTACTTATTTCTTATGATCCTTCCAGAAATAATCTATGCACTTATAAATGTGTTATCTTGTTTTATTTTTTTACTCAACAATGTATATGGAGTCTTTCCACATCAGTAAATAAAGCCACCCTACTGTTTATAATGGGTGCATAGCACTCTACTCTGTGGGTATCTCAAGATTAATTGAACCAATCTCCTAATGGTGGGCATTTAGCTTTTTCCACGATAAAGAACGATCAATACCAACTCTGCACTTTCAGCATTACACACTTTCCTACTGTCTGTGCACTTACATGTGTAGCTTTCTTTTACATCCTTTAATACCCTTGTGAAGATTTGTCCTCTACAGTACTAAATTTTCCTATCCAAGAACAAGGTATGCTTTTTCAACTGTTCAAGTCTTCTACAAGTCTCCTATGTTTTCACAGTAGCCTTGTAAAATTGTCTTCAACTTAATCTTGCCCATTTCTTCTTAAATTTATTCTTAGGCATTTCATCTGTTTTTGTTGCAGCTGGAAACAGGATTCTTTCCTGTCATTCCATCTTCCGATTGTTTATATACAGGAAGGCAACTGACTTTAAAAATGTAACTTGAAGTTACAGGCATTTCTGTTTCCTTTTCTGTGAACTCTGCCCATTTACCTGGCCACCTCTCATGATTCCTAAAGTTATTTACAAATCAATGCACATTAAAGCAATTTATTTATTTATTTTTAAAAATATATTTTATTGATTTTTCACAGAGAGGAAGAGAGGGGGATAGTTAGAAACATCGATGAGAGAGAATCATCGATCAGCTGCCTCTTGCACACACCCCACTGGGGATATGCCCGCAACCAAGGTACATGCCCTTGACAGGAATCGAACCCGGGACCCTTCAGTCCCCAAGCCGACGCTTTATCCATTGAGCCAAACTGGTCTTGGCTGTTATCAGCCTTTTTTTTTTTTTTGCAGGTGTATAACTACAAAACTTTGATGGATTGATGTTGAATAAATGGAAAAATCCAGTCAGATCAAGAATAAAAAATATTGAAATCCATCACCAAATTCTATAGCTTTATCTTCAAAACAGAGATCATTATCTTTCCTTATTCCTGACTCCTGAGCCAGCCACCATCACCTGGCCTAGGTCATGACATAGGCCAGTGGCCTCAAGGTCTCCCTACGTCTGCTTTTGCTCCACACCACACCCCAGGTCCTGCTGGGCAGCTACATCTAGTCACTCTGGCTTTCCAGCAATTTCTAACATTAACAAATGCCCTCCCAAACAGGACTGCTGCCTGAGATCTCATGGAGGCTGGGGCTTCTCCTCCTTCATGCACCCGCAAGGCCAGCAGCGCAGAGACTCCTCCCAAGACTCAGCTGTCCAAAGCCGGCCTCCCCGCTCTCCTATCACAGCATCAATCACCATTCTGAGAACTTAGTGACTTTATCTTCTATGGTTTGATTCTCCACTAGAATGGCAGGGATTAGCCCTGCTTATCTGCCACTCTGTCGCTGGCACCTGGCCCAGCACAGTGAGTGTACATTGCGAGTCTTCATTAATATCTGTTAAAAGAATAAGATGAGCCTGACTGGCGTGGCTCAGTGATTGAGCATCAACCTATGAACCAGGAGATCATGGTTCGATTCCCAGTAGGGCACATGCCTGGGTTGCAGGCTCGATTCCCAGTTGGGAGCATTCAGGAGGCAGCCAATCAATGATTCTCTGTCACCACTGATGTTTCTATCCCTCTTACCCACCCCCTCTTTCTCTCTCTGAAATCAATAAAATAATAATAATAATTTGAAGAAGAGCAGGAGGGAAGAGACACACCTCAAAAATTTCAAATCCAGCAATGTCCAGGATTCCAATGAAAGATGCTCCCTGACGCTTGGTCCTATCCAGAGCTTTGTTGATCCGGTGAACAAGCCAGCGAAAGAGCCGCTCGTAGGTAGCTTTTGCCAATGCTTCCACTGCAAAGTCCGCCTGTAATTACACAACACCGTGTTTTATTCTGGAAATGATCTCAACAAGGCATTCATAGCTATTACATAGAGTTCAATGTTCTTCAAAAAGCCTGAAATAGCATGTACTGCTTAGCCATGTGTCAAGTTTACACATCAACAAAGGGTGTTAGTACAATTACATGTAAACCAGAGAGAATCAATTTAAGGGAAGGGTGAAGATGGCCAGTACAAAAGCACCCTCCCTACGTCCCGGGGTTGTGTGAGCCTGTCTGCTCGGAGTTTGAAAGGAGTCCACCCTGAGACCGGGCAGTCCAACTCCTGTATTCTTGGTGGGTGAGCTCTAGAAGTCAGAACTCTGTCCTCCTGGATAACCTACCTACTGGGGAAAGCTCGTTTCCTTTTGAAAAAACTACACAAGAAAACCCCACAATTAGTCCCAGGAAACATCCATATTATAGAGCTTTATCTGGCTCAGTTTGTCACATACCAATCAGAAGGTCTTATGACCACAATTGATCATTCAAACACATGCAGAATAATTAATGATAAATGCACCTGTTCTTTGGTCTGGGCTTTCTGCACATAGTCTCGGCCGACCTTGATCCGGGGGGTAAGGATGGCCCGAGTGAACTCCATCACATTCATCCCAAGAAGATGGCACAGCTTCTGGGCAACTAGAGTGTAAAAAAATCTCCTCAATAGTGGACTCTTCCTTATGATCTAGTCACAATACATTCAATAAACACTTGAAAAACCCAAGTAGTCACTAAATTGTATTAAGAAATAAGTTTTAGGTCTGATGAAAAATCACTTCATCCCTTCAAATTAATAACACTCACCCTTAGGTTATTTAAAAGAGACTGTGAGCCAGAAATTACTTATTATGGCTAATAATGCAAGTTACTGAGTTTTAGAACCCATGATAACACACAGAATGAGAAAAATAGTGCTACCAAGATAACTGGCTGTGATCATGTAATGATCCTAATAATATTTTAATGGGCAAGAAGTTTATAAGTTTAAAAAAAGTTATTTGATTACATGGCTAACATGAAACACCAATACATAATTGCTACTTTTGTTATTGTTGATTCTCAGCAGCATTAGGGCACCTGTCTCACTAGAAGATCACTAATATCCTCCAAGGTCCAACAAGTATACGAATTATTATAATGAATTTTGTACTAAGTATTAAAAATTGTCAGATCAAAATTGGAGGCATCAGTATAAATCCATGGTTTTTAATATACATACATAAAAATGAGAATCGGCCTGTGAGCACATGTGTGTGCATGTTCCCTTGCTCTGTCCTCTGAAAGAAGCAGAACCAAATGAGACCCTAGAACAACCAGATATTGGCAGCTAAACCCCATTCTTCAATATGAAGAAAAGGCAGAGAAACGGCCAATTCCAGGGCCGGGGTGGACAAATACAAAATGAGTCTGCAACATTTTGTGTTGCCATAAAGAAATTCCTTTAAAATAAAAGTGACAGAAAAATAAATAAATAAAATAAAATAAAAGTGACAGAGTCACGTCAAAGTAACTGGAGCACTAGCCTGAAGGGGCTCCAACTCCTCATGGCCACATCGAAGACAGAAATAAATAATTATGGAATGGATCATAAACCATAAATTAAAGAAGGGTCCACGTGTCTATATTGATATGAATGAAAAAGTGAAAGCTCTTCCTTCCAGTAGAATTCCAGGGAGTAAATACAGAAGAACGATGTAGACAGAAAGTCACCACTTAACATACACCACAAACAAGACTCACTTCCAGTAAGAACCATAAACGGGAACGACAACTAGTAGCTGAAGAGCCCAACGAGAGCCTGGACTTACTTCCTTAGGCTTAGTGTCTCCCTCCTCTCCCAGATACTGGGTACAACGGCAGAAGGTAATCCGGTAGCGGAGAAACCCAGTAGACACTTCCTTAACCAAGTTAACCTCACCAACCATGAGACAAACTCACATACAGCTGCTGGTATGAGGCACAAGGAGGCCACAACACCCCTTCTGTGACATTCTCACCAAAAATGTGTAACCTGGATTTAATCAGGAGAAACTCAAACCCAAATGGAGGGACATTTTCCAAAACAGCTGGCCAGCATTCTTCTTCAAAAGTGCCAAGGCCACGAAAGACGAAGACAGCCTATGTTCCTGGTAAGAGTCAACACTGCGACGTCTCAGCAGCTGCTGCTCCCTTTCCGATGAGCTATGTGTCTCTGCAGCTCATGTCTCCACAGGCCCCACTCCCAATGCCTCCCCTAGCCATGGCAGGGTCTCCAGTGCTGCTGTGTCCTACACACACCTCTTCCCTCATATGACACCAGAGTGGCCCTTACGCATTCTGCTCGCTCCTGAGAATTTTGTGGCAAAGCGTCGGGAGTGCTTTCTATGCCTGCGCTAACATGTCCTTGGAGAGCACAACCACCAACCATCTAAATGGAAATAGCCGAAACCGGTTTGGCTCAGTGGTAGAGCGTCGGTCTGCGGACTGAAAGGTCCCGGGTTTGATTCCGATCAAGGGCATGTACATTGGTTGCGGGCACATCCCCAGTAGGGGGTGTGCAGGAGGCAGCTGGTCGATGTTTCTCTCTCATCGACATTTCTAGTTCTCTATCCCTCTCTCCTCCCTCTCTGAAAATATCAATAAAATATATTTTAAACGGAAATAAAATCACATAGTCAATTACCTGTATTTTCCGGCATGGAAGCTTGGTCAGTGTTCCGCTCCTTTTTGAAAGAAATATTTCCAAACTGAAGCACTGAAGACACTACTTTAAGCATAGCTTTATTAAAGAGAAAAAAAAATGAATAAAAATATTGCACCGACATATAGCAGAGACATATTCTAACTTATTTCGACTAAAAATTAGCTAGACAAAACTTTTCAGTACAGTATATCTCAGTATTTCATAAAATTACAGGCAGTTCTCAGTTCCTCAAACATTTCCACGTTAAGTTATTGACCCTCAGCGTGTGTCTTATTTAAAAGAGTATCAGAATCTTAGAGAAATCCCACATACACAGAATCTCTTCATGAGAGAAGCCCATTATATGCATCGCTTCCATCGTCTCCTGGAAGTTATCTTTGTCCTGCTGACCCGGGATGGGAATATAACCGTTGGAGAGAAATCTGTAGTTGTTAAATCCTTCAAGAAGCAAGTCAGCTAAAACAAAACAGAATGGAATACCATCAAGCAAACACTCCTCAGCAGACTGAGCATGCCGACATCCAGACAGCACCAAGGCCCCAGGAGACCAGAGGTTCCCAACCAACCATCACCGCCACATACTTCTCACCCCCACACTTTCTCTTTGTATGTTCACGCTAAATACACAAACACATACAGCTTCCCATGTCTGCAACCAGGAAGGAAAATGATAATGTAAACTGCACAAATCTCAACGGGAGCTGGGGACAGTGGTTTACATATTTTAAATCGGATCGTGGGAAAATGATGTAACTTTTCCAGAGAACTAAAACTTGATTGTTTTCAGATTTAAGTATTTTAGAAAGCTTTTAAACCCATTTTCTATATTCCTTTCTTAAATAGTTTATAGCGAACACTGTGGAGTCAATATGAAGACTATGTGGATCTAAGATAACACCCAGATGTAGAAGGTTTGTGCTCAGCCCAGCCACCTCGAAACCTCTTCCAAAGCAGTCTATTTAGTGGTAAATTTGCTTTTGGGAGTGATGTGCAACATAAAAGATGATGACAGAATACTATAATGGATAATACCCCCGCTGCCTACTTGTACTGTGAATTAGAGACAACTTAGCTTCCTCTTTTGATAAATGTGTTTGTTCCTTGAGAGCAGAAGGATGTTTCTTGGGAGGGATCAAAACAGACAGGGCTACTCATCCTGAGAAAGGATGCTATCACAGGCTCCCAGCCTGCAGAGGGTTTCTGATCACGCCGATCCCTTAATTCTTATCAACGTCACCTTTAGCTCTACTGGGTACTGACTGCTTTCTCTTTCTCTATCTTGAATACTTTGTTATTGTTTTTGATCATTACTACTGCCAGTCTGGAAGCCTGAAGGTTTCCTTCTCTTCAGCATCACATACTGTATGTGTATAATCCTGAATTTTTCGTCTCTTGTTGGCTCTCTTTATTTTTGTGGCTTATTTTTTTCCTCGCAGGTCATTTCAAATCAATTTCTGGGTTCAATGCTTTCATAGCAAAAGCATTTCATTGCAAAAGTCTATACCCCAATGAGAAAAGCATGACTATGCATGTATAATTACTTGTGAGATCTACAGAGTATGCTTATAATAGTCACATAGAAGCACTGAGCTCGAGAAGTTGGAAAGTTGTGCATCTTTTCTCTCCCCTCAGATACTTAGCAAATTTCTGATCCCGAACAGAAATTCGCTTTTACCCTGGCCAGGCCTAAGCTTCCAGTCCTTGTGAGTCAACAAAAATCCTCCATAGGCTTTTCCCAGAACTACTGGAAACATAACAGAGATATTTAGTTGTTAACTTAGAAATAAAAATGTTCATTAACTTTATTAAGTAAATTTATTTTTTCTTACTTGTAATTTATAAATGTTGAAACAAAACAATAATAAATACACATCATTTGTCTTCTATTTTTAAAGAAATCGAGATGATGTAACACTACCCATATACCTACCGCTTAAAGGTATTTAGCCCATGGCATGGGCATTCCACCTCACTTTCATCATCTGACCAGCTAGAGTTTTGTAACTTACACTTTAGGTGTTCTCCTGCTCCAGACAGCAGCTGGTAAAAGATATGAAAAGTACGCTCATCTTTTGCTTGACGAACAGCACGAGATTTTTCCAGAAGGTCTGAGCAAAGACGGTTAAGGATTAAGTTGGTCCTTTTTCCATGTCTATTTAATTATAAAACATTTTCTCTCTCTGATATAGATCAAGTACCCTGTTATTAACCATCCTATATGGTTAAACTTTGTAAGTGAAAAAAGAAAATGTATGCCATTTATGTTTCCCACTAACCTACGAGATCCACTGGGCTAGTAGGGAACTTAAAGCTCGGAGTGCTTCCCTCACTCCACCCCACCCTGTTCTTAACTTGGGTTATATTCAAAGAACACAACACTCTACAAAGAACTGTATTTTCTATCACTGGAGATTATTCTAATAAAACTCAGAGAATTGTCATCTGTAACCTTCCTAACTGGCACACTACCAGTTCAGAACCACTTTTTATTATCTTTACCCAAATTAATTCCATATAGTCCTGCCATTTCTTAGAACTAGGGTACATTATTTGACATTTTCCTCTAGTTTTATTCTGCTTAACACTAACTGAACGGCTTTAACTGTACTTTTATAAGGCTTGTTTCAATGGGTACATGCCCATCATAGCAGAAATAGATGGTAAAAATTTAAGCTAACACAACCATAACTGAAGAGTCATTCAAAGAGACTGGACTAAAATCGTACACCTATGGATGAGGACAATGGGGGGGAGGTAAGGGCAGAGAGTGGGGTAGGAACCGGGTGGAGGGGAGCTATGGGGGGAAAAAGGAAAAACAGTTGTAATAATCTGAACAATAAAAATTTATTAAATTAAAAAAAAAAGAGTTGTTCAATTTAACAGTATTCACCTAAAGGTCCTTATACCACACAAACATCCCCTGGGATGACATACAGGTGACCCTCACCTCAGTGCGACTCTCCACTTCCCCAGCCACGTGATCAGGTCGTGACCTGGTGTTACAAGACCAAGTCACAATCTCTCGGGACTCAAGTTTTACCATCTTGATAACGGGAGTGATATCACAAAGGGTTTCTTTGAGGCCGCAGGAAGATGAAATGATTCTTTATTTTAGATTATACTATTCTAAAAAAGGATACATGTTTCAATGTTGGCCCCAACAATATAGCCAGTTACATCAAAGTTGATCCGAATAAATTTGCCCTGAAAATAAATTACAAAGAAAAAAATGAAAATAAATAAGGACAGAAAGGATCTGAACACGATCATAAATAAGCCAATGTGCCCTGCCGAGTAGACACAAATTTGTTATAAAAATGAACCTTAAATATTGCCTCAAATAAAAAGGAATAAAGAAAAAGCCTCAATAAATTCCCAAACTGTAGCAATAGGATAGGTTACCTTCTTGGACTATAACATAATAAAAATGAAACCCTAATCATTTAGAACTTTTAAAAGCTCTTCTAAATAACCTGAGATATGAGCAACTTCAATAGTATAAAAGGAACACTACACCAGCCTTATAATGATAGACTTGAAAAACTGAATAATATAATTTCTTAGGAAAATAGAAATCCATTTAAGAAAAAAAGAGAAAACTTGAATGGGCCATAATCACAAAATGAAGTCATTTGGCAAATTCCCAAGGAATATGTAATTGCCTTACAACATAACTATTTTAGGGAAACAGAAAAGTGATTATTTCATAATTCACTTTATAAAATTATAACACTGAATACCCAAACAGATAAAGATAACACTAAAAAAAGGAAAGCAAAATAAAACCAAATATCTTACTCATAACTATATATACTATATAATAAAAAGCCCGTTGTGGGAGTGCTGCTCATCTTGGTCTGCCAAGCGGCTGTGGACCCGCCCTCTGAGCAGCTACTTCCTGATCCGGCATCTTCTGTGGAGCTGGAGCACTGGCCTCTCCAGGGGACCCTGTCGCCTCTCCAGGGGACCCTGTCGGGGCTGGGCCCAGGGACAGTAGCACTGAGAGGCAGCGGAGGAGGCATCAGTCCCATGGTGGCCACGAATCTGCCTCCCAGCCAAGTGGCGTTCCCACTGTGATAGTGCACTTATTACCAGGGGGCAGTTCCTGTGTTGAGTGTCTGCCCCCTAGTGGTCAGTGTGCGTCATAGTGACTGGTTGACCAGTCGTTCTGCTGTTCAGTTACTGGGCTTTCATTATATAGGCCTAGAGGCCTGAGGCACAAATTCATGCACTGGTGGGGTCCCTGGCCTGGCCCTCAGGGGTTGGGCCAAAACCAGCAGTCTAACATCCCCTGAGGGGTCCCGGGAGGGCACAGGCCAAGAAGAGGGACCCCACCAGTGCATAAATCTGAGCTCTGGGCCTTTAGTGTATATAAAGAACTCATCCAAGCCAACTGTTGTGGCTCAGTGGTTGAGTGTCAATCCATGAACCAAGAGATCCTGGGTTTGATTCCCAGACAGGGAATATGCCTGGTTTGCAGGTTCGAGCCCCAGTAGGTGGCATGCAGGAGATAGCTGATTGATGTTTCACTGTCATGGATGTTTCTATTTCTCTTCCTCTCTCTAAAAATCAATAAAGCCTTGTTCTGGACAGAAAATGCATGGCTAGTTTGATACACTTAGCCATCATAACAACAAACATGCATTCCATTACAGGCCTGTTTCAGATTCCACTCATCCTCAGAATTTAGAGGGGAGAGGGAGTATGGTTACAAAGAAAAGGCATTTTGTGACAAATAGCTCTTACCACCTCTTACACAGTCTTTATACACTTGGCATAATAAATGATCATAAACAATGGCTAAACCAAAAAAATCTCTGGACATGGTCTTACATATATAACTGAGTGTTTGTGAGCGGAATAAAATATACAAAAATGGAACATCCCTGGGAAACTAGGATGGTGTCAGTCACAATACCTGCCATGTCCTCTAATCGACCTCCATGACATTGGTTAATAACATATATAGGCTTCAAGTGTAACTCCTTTATTTCTAAGTTCTCTTAAAATAAAACCACTACAAAGAGTAGTCCTTGATATACTGTAATCTGATTTCAACCCCTAAGTTGTGAGACATTATTTTGGAGAGACAATATTCTGGGCTAACAGCTGTTCAAAGTGGCACCTGTATTCTCTTCTGCCAATAGGTCCTCACTATTGTCACAGTGTTGTCAGAATGCGAAACTTGAATATTTGAAACGTCTGACAGCTCATAATTTTGTTAGAGTGGAAGAACTTTTTTGCTCCATAATTTAAGATATTTTCATTGTTAGATACACAAGCACCAATTAGAATGGCCAATCCAATAAATTTCATTTCTACATCATCTCTTTCCTTCCACTAACTTTCATATACACACCTGCCTTTAGCATTTGTCCACTTGCAAACCACATCAGATAAACTGTGGTAGATAAACATCATGTAAGAATACTGTTACATGTCCATTTAACAAAACACGGTCCATGTTCTTGTTGCAAAACAACGAGTAAGGAAGACCTTCCTGCTGAATCTAACGCCATGCTTCCTGTCCTCAAAATGTGTTCTTACGGAATTGATTCCTGTCATCATCAGAATCTATAGCACTACCTGACCCTCTGCATTTATCTTCAGACTCATCTAATGTTTTTTTTAAATGCTTTTCTCTTTATTTTTCTAGTCTTTGATATTATGGATAGAAAATGAAAACTTCTGACTCTTTGCCCTAGCTGGTCTAGCTCAATTGGTTGGAGTGTCATCCCGTTTATACCAAAAGGTCTCAGGTTTGATTCCAGGTGAGGGCACATTCCCAGGTTGTGGGTTCAATGCCTGCTTGGGGCGCTTCAGGAGGCAATTGATTGATGTTTCTCTATTGCATCGATGTTTTTTCTCTCATTCTCTCCCTCTCACTCTCTCAAATCAACAAGAACATATCCTCAGGTAAGGATTAAAAAAAGCACTGGCGGGTCAGTTAGTTGGAGCGTTGTTCCATTCACCGAAAGGTGGCAGTTTTGATTGTGGTTAGGGCACATGCCTGGGTTGTGGGCTCGATCCCTGGTAGGAGGTGTGTAGGACCCAGCCGAGTGATGAATCTTTCTCATTATTGATGTTTTACTTTTACATTGATGTTTTTCTCATTCTCCCTTCTTCTCTAAAAAAATCAATGAACTATTCTTTAAAAAAAACCCCCACAAACTTCTGACTTCTCAATTATGTTCCCTGAAAGCTAAAAGTAGTCTACAAAGATATCTCTAGTTTTCAGACATACCTTCTTGAAAGATAATGCAATATGATCATTGATACCCTATATAATGTATATTAGATTTATAAAATTATCCAATGGACTCACATGTTTATATCTATATATATATATAAGCCGAGCTATGGAACGATGGAATGACTGGAACGACCGGTTGTTATGGCACGCCTGTGGTGGCCAACTGGGTCAATTGGGACCCCAATTCCCCCCTCCTCCCCACCAACTTCCTGCAGCCCCTCCCCCTGCTTGGCCCCCACCCACCCTGACAGGGGGCGGGGCCAGTCAGCCAACCTCCCACATCCCCTCCCTACTCCACCCCCCATCTCCGCTGACTCAGTCCCAATGTCCCCCATAGGGGTGGGTCAGCTGGACCCCACCCATGCATGAATCCATACATTAGGCCTCTAGTAGTAATTATAAAAGAGAATGAATTTTATTTTTAAAATAAGTAAATTTCAGGGTCTCCTCCTTGCACTTGTCATCACATCCCCGTCTGGATTCCCGGATGCCTGTCCAGTGCCAGACCTCTGCCCACTGCCCCATCTCACAGCGCTCAGGCTCTTCACTGGCATCCATATCCAGAGCCGTTGTCAATGACCAGCCCCTTGTCTCCCCCAGGCAGAGCCTGGCCCTCCCAACCACCTGTCTTAGTGTCTGCTCTCTGGGCATCCAGGAAAGGCTGTGTGAGGACAGTGAGAAGGCAGCTGCGTGTAAGTCAGGAATCGAGTCCTCACAGAAGCCAACCTGCTGGTACCTGGATCTCAGCCTCCCAGCCTCCAGAACTGTGAGAAAATTGAAACTACCTTAGAGATCTAAAATCTGTTGTTAAACCCCACCCCCCAAAAAAAGGTAAATTTTGTTATTGTTCTTCAGAAGACCCTCAGGAGGAATAAAGTTAAAAAATTATTAGTCCTTATAAATAGTTGGAATGCCTCAAAAAAGAAACTAAAAAACTAAAATTGGGTCCTGATGTTCAAATTTTAAACAGATGTATTATCTATACAATACCTCATCGAGTTAATAAAAAATTGCTATTTTAGAGGCAGTAGTCAAAAGACAATGTTATTCCTTCAAAGCTGCAGAGAATACACTGCCAACATACTGTTCAAGAAAATACTTTCTCAAATTGCTCACTGTAACACTGCAGAAAGTTTAATCAAAATCATATGGTATCACGTCATTCTCACTGAAGAGAATGTTTCACACAAAAAACTCGTTACATAGAAAAACAAACTTTCAGATTTCAACATGTCTATTTAACTTCTTTATTATGTCTACATCAATGTGCTGTTTAAGCTTTTAGTTCTTATATTATTTCCTATTATTTTTCTTGATCACCCCTAATAGAAGTTCAAATTCATTAAACAAGGTATTTTTTTTTTACTTGGGAAATAAAATTGTTATATTGATAACTATAAACTTTAACAATTTAAAAATATAAATCAGAAAATTATTTATTGCATATTTAATAAACTTATTTTGCCCTTACTTCTTGGGAAATTATAAAATAGGAAAGAAGGTAAAGGAGAAATGGAAGAAACAATGGTTTTTGGCCTCTGAACAGGTAACTTAAAAAGAAGTTTCTCAGAATAATTTAGATATGTGGTTTCTTAATTGGATAAACAAAGCCACAACATACAACATTTAATTGTCTCTTCAGCTCCCTTTCTTTCTCATAACTGGTGTCCAGAGTTGTTCTAGGCAGTATAGCTAGTGCAGAGAACTATCTTCTGGCTAAATAAAAATGGTTAGGCAAAAAGTAATGAAATAAAGGGACAGAATGAGGAAAGAGATGGGGCAGTAGAAGCCAGCTGTGGGGTAGGGGATGGGGGCAGAGTGGATTAGGGTGTACTCCAACCCCATCTCTCTTATACACACCCGAAAGAACAACATATTCAGTCACTAATAAACACTGGTTATAAGGCAAAGCTCTAGCATCGATTCTATTTTGAAAACATTAACAAAACAA